GCTCGGGCTCGCTGCTCGGCGAAGATGGCGCCGGCCCGCTGCACGTCCTGCTCCGGGGCGTCCGTCGGGGCCGCCGCTTTCTGCGGCTGGAGCTTGTGGGCCGTCTCGTCTTCCTCGTTCATGCCCTGGATGATCTTGAGCACCTCCGGGGGCACGCCGCCTTCCGGCAGCTGCGCCGCCGCTTCCTGTACTTTCGTGTGCTGCAGGTGCTGGAAGGCCGGATGCCCCAAGCGCTGCATGTCTAGGATGAGGCTCACGACCACTTCCCTTCGCACCGTCGCCTGGTGGAGCAGGGTCTTGATCTCGGACTCGCTGGTCGTGCCGGTCCTGTTGGTCTTGAGGAGGACCCGCACCACCTCCCCGAGCGCTTTGCCAGAGCGTGGGAAGCTGGGCGTGTTGTCTGCCTGCTCTGCATGGGCGCCTGCTGCCTCCTGCGCCCTTGCTGCCTCTGCCTCGTGCGCTTGAAGGTTGCGCAGCAGATCCTCCCATGGCAGAGGGAAGGTGAGGGCGTTGCCTCGTGCTCCCAACCGGTGGCTGGCGTTCTGGGCCTTCTCGTCCAGCGTGGTCCCTTCGCTGCGGTGCCGGGCTTCCATGGACATGCAGATCAGGGTCGTAATGCACGGGCTTGCGCAGATCATCTCCATGACGGTGACTTTCTGTTCGTGTAGCCGTGCCGGCGAGTAGCCGGTCCACATGTCGTTGCACAGGCTCAAAGGCGGCATCTCACCCTTCGTNNCCCAGGTGCCAGTTGCAGTCGCTGCAGAGGGGCACCTCGCAGTGCTCGCACAGGGTGTGTTGGGCTGGGTGCTGGGGGTTGGCCTGGCAGCGATGGTCTTCGGGGCAGCAAAGGATGTCGCCGAAGCCGGGGATGGTGACGGTCCACTCATCGAAGTTGGCGACGTCCTCGAGCTTCACGTCGCCGGCGAGGTCGTTGTAGCGCCGCAGGTACTGGTCGATGCTGAGGATCTCGTGCAATTTCTCTGTTATTTCGGGGTGGCTCTCGTTGATGAGTTTGCGCCAGTGGATGCGACCGCTGGGTTCTGTGCTGTCGGCCACGCGTGGGTGGATGCAGGCGCAGCTGAAGCATATGAGCGACTCCACCTTGTCTTGGCTTGTGGCCGTGGCGAAGCTCCGCAGCGCGCTCCTGTCCCGCGAGCATCCCGCCACGGGCGCGGCTTCTCGACATCGCAATGCGATGGCCTCGTTGTAGACGCTGGTCAGCGCGTCGGTGGGCAGGGGCTTGGGCAGGTGCTGCGCGACGCTCTGTAGCTCTGGTTTGTGTGCTTTGACGACATGCTGGTGGAGCTCCACTTCCGTCCCTGCGAGCGACGACCAGCTGCAGCCCTGGAAGGCACAGAAGACCTGTGGCCAGGCGTCCCCGCTGTCCACATCTTCGGGCTTGGCTTCGGGCGGGATCAGAGGTTGGGCTCGCAGGTGGGAGTTGGCCAAATCCTGGAGAGCCTCTTCCAGCTCTCGTCTGGGGTGGGCGCTCTTCGGTGCCACGGGCATGTTGGTCAGCTCTTCCAGGAGGCTGGGCCCTTCTTCCAGCTGGGGCGGTGGTGCAGCGGCGGCGGCTGCGGCCTGGCTCGCCTGGGTGGGCGGCTTGTTCTGGATCTTGCTGGTTGCGGTTCTGCTGCGCTTGGGTGGGCGGGGTTCCGGGTGTGGTGGAGGCGGTGGTGGTGGACTTGCGGCGTCCGGCCGGGGTGGCCCGCGGGGTGGGGCCAGCTCGTGACTGGGCACGAGCACGTCGTAGTGATCCCTCCCATTGTACCAGAGGTGGATTCCTTGCACGAAGTCCCCGTCTGCTGCCCCAGCGACTTGCAGGTGGGTGCGGTCGATGGTCTCGATCTGACCGTCTTCTGCGCGCGAGTGCAGGATCACCCTCTGCTGTCTCATCCGAGTGAAGGCGACGATGGCCGTGTCGCCGCCCCAGTG